GGGGGGGGGGCGAACCGCACCCGGGTAACACCCATCAGGGGGCAGCAGAAATCCCAAATCTACTATTTAGAAGCGGCCGCTGTCACCTGTTCAAGTCAATGGCCCAGCGACAGCAGACGCATCTGTAGGCAGCACCACATGTGATGCGATGACATATGACACGTGATACGATTCCATGCGGTCACTGTACCTGGACACACGGCAATGATCTACCCCAAACAGCGTGTCATAGTATCACGTATGGTGATATCAGGACCGCCACCTACAGATGTGGCCGCTGTCACCTGAGTATTCATCTGAACAGGTGACGGTGGCCGGAATCCCAAATCACACATCATATATAAATAATATATAAAAAGATAAAGCCTCATTCACACGGGAAAAGGCCGGCACGTACAGCTCTGTGCTGCGTGCACGGCTGTATCGGGCAGCTCCCGGGAAGCACAGGTGCTGCATGTGATTAGTACGCAGCCCCTTTCCTTCTCTATGGGACTACGGGGTCGTACATCGTGGTAAATCACGTGTCATATGTCATCGCAGGTGGTAAAATATAAAAGACGGGGCCACGCCGGTTACATAGATAGCAAACATGTCAAGCCTTAAACTTGGGCGCCCCGTGAAACTGCAAAAAACGAAAATACCCCAAAATTTCCCATAGGCAACGCTTTAAAAGCTCTTACCGCTCATCAGTTTAGTGTATCGTGTGTGGAGCGATTTTAGTTTTTGCACCTAGGCGCACCTAGGCGCACCTGGCGCGTGATTGCATTGTATGTGTGTGCATGTGGGGGGCAGGGGAACTTGAAACATTTTTTTTGGGCATTTTTAAAAAAGGTTTTTATATGTGACAATTTTTTACATGTTTTTTTACACTTCATGTTATTGCCACCACATAGGCGGCTAACAAGCCCCCTATTTAATAGCAGATATGATGTGACGGGTCCTCTTTATGTCTTTCAGACCCCTAATGTCACCTAGGGACCCCAAAGAAGCTGATGAAGTAGAGATCTGCTTCCCTGGCTTCTTCTTCTGGCTGCAGGAGCCTGAGAATTTAAATGGTGACACTGGAAGTGATGTAATACACGTCACTTCCGTGTCCAGTGATTGGAGGAGAGATCAGCGTCTAGAAGCTTGCTAATGTCCTCCGCTGGATGCAGGGAGACCCGCCGTGCCGGCACAGTGGAGAGGGTAGGGGGGCACACATTCCACGTTTGCCCGCTTTGCCCTGATCAACCCATGCCCTGGGAAAGTGTGTTTTTGCCGCACTCCCCCCATTGGTGCCGCATGCACAACAAATGCAGGAAAGCAGCTCATGTAGCATGCAGACATACCGCATGTGTTGTAACGCGCATCTAAATGCAGGAAGAACACGTTTTACTGCCGCGTTTGGGGTGCACTTCACAAGTAATGGCACCGCAAGCACGTTGCATTTTTTTGACACTTTCTGTGAACAGCGTTTGGCGCACATTCATGGAAGGGAAAGGTGTGATCGGCAGCTTAAAGGGTAATTCCACTTTCCTATGCGAATTTGGGGAAATAAAATTATTCCACCAACCGGGCCCCCTCTCCCTCCTCCTGCTGCTCTTTCTTTTAAATGAACGCTCCTTCCCCTCTGCAGCCTCCCCCCCCCCCCCCCCC